TTGAAACTTTCTTAAATTCCAAGATTCTAGATATATAGTAGCCTAATTCACCATAAAAACCAAATCAATGTTTTACAAATCTTTATAACTTCCTAAAATGCATTTTCACGGATCTAGCATTTCAACAGCTTAGGGATAATTATAATACAAAATGGAATCCTGGCATTTCTTTGTCATTTCAGGAATGTATCAAAATTGCTAAGAAGATTATCTTACATCTTTTTTTTGGGAGGGGTGGCGGGGCGGGGTAGAATGAGGGGCAGTATTAGGGTTTGATTGAACTTAGGGGCTCACCCACTATACTTCATTCAAAATAGTAACTTTACTCTTATATTTGTATCCACTGTCAACTAACTCTCCAGTTAGATTGGTCTGTTTCAGTGAAACAAGTCTTCAAAGTCATATAAAAAATGTAAGGTGAACTTCACAGTTGCCTCTTTCTCCCAGGGAAAATAATGTTACAAATCCAAGCAGTTATGATGAAAACTTTAAATATCTGAAAAAGTAAATTAAAGTAGAACTAAGGAAGTGGAAAAACCTCCCATGCTCCTGGATTGGGAGGATTTAATATTGTGAAAATAGCAATATTGCCCAAGGCTATCTATAAATTCATTGCAATACCCATCAATATCCCAACATCATTCTTTAATGAAATAATAAAAGACCCCAAACAGCAAAATAATACTTAGCAGAAAGAATAGTGCTGGAGGAATATCAATACCAAACTTCAAACTCTATTACAAAGCCATGGTAATCAAAACAGCTTAGTATTGGCACAAGAACACCCCTGAGGACCAATAGAACTGAAGACCCAGAAATGACCCTGCAGAACTATGGCCACCTAATCGTTGATAAGGGAGCCAAAAAAAAAAAAAATAGGATGGCAGAAAGACAGCCTCTTCAACAAATGGTGCTGGCAAAATTGGTTAAACACTTGTAGAAAACTAAGGTTAGATCGTTATATATCACCCTGCACTAGAATCAATTCCAAATGGATCAACAACCTCAAGGTAGAAGCAGATACTCTGAAAACATTACAGGAAGCAATAGGAGAAACTCTAGGGCTCCTTGGCAGGGGCTGAAATTTTCTTAATAAAGACCCAGAAGCATAACAAATAAAAGAAAGGTTGGACAAATGGGACTGCATGAAATTGCAGAGCTTCTTCATGGCAAAGGACATAACAAGATCAATAGAAGGCCCTCAGATTGGGAGAAGATCGGCACTAGCCATACAACAGACAAAGACCTCATACCTAAAATATACTTAGAACTCAAAAAATTAAATTCCCCCCAAAACAAATCCTCAAACAACCAACCTCCCGGTTAATAAGTGGGTAAGGACTTAAAGAGAGACTTCTCTGAAGAGGAAATAAGAATGGCCAATAGACACATGAAGAAATGCTCAATATCTCTGGCCATGAAAGAAATGCAAATCAAAACAATAATGAAATTCCACCTCACCCCAGTTAGAATGGCTATTACCAAGAAATCTAACAACAAAAGATGCTGGAGGGATGAGGCCAAAAGGGAAAACTATGGCACTATTGGTGCGAGTGTAAACTTGTTCTACCACTCTAGAAAGCAATATGGAGGTTCCTCAAGGGACGATTAAAAAGAACTGCCCTAGACCCAGCAATCCCATTTCTGGGCACTTACCCAAATGACCACAAACAAGGCCACACTAAAGCTACCAGCATAATAACTATGTTTATTGCAGCATTATTTTCCATAGCAAAGATATGGAACCAACCCAGATGCCCCTCAGTAGATGAATGGATCAAAAAAATGTGGTATACATATACAATGGAATTCTATGCTTCCATCAGAAAGAATGACATTGCCACATTCCTAAGGAAATGGAAAGACTTGGAAAAAATCATATTAAGTGAAGTAAGCCAGACCCAAAGAAACATAGGCTCCATGGTTTCCCTAATTTGTTATCATCAGTATATGTCTAGGACAGTCTTAGCATATGAGCAGCATACCCCAATAGCTATGTACATATGACTATATAAGATGATGCTAAGTGAAATGAACTCCAAGACATGGAAAATAAGAGGTTTTTCTTTGTTGTTTTTAATGTATTACGTGATTTTCTTTATTCTTTTGTCTTTTTTTCTTATGGTTTATCCCCTGTTGTTACTGTATTTCATTCTGGTGCCCTGGGTATTGTATATACATTTATGTGAATTAAGGAAGAGAAGGGGAACAACAAAATGGTGAGACAAAGGACAAAGGATGAACCAATGCAACAATGATTCTCACAAGATAATATGTACAACTTGCAGGAGCTTGGGGTCTGGGTAAGAGGGAAAAATGAGGAAGGGGGTAACAAGTTTGACAAGAAATGTACTCACTACCTTACATATGTAACTGAAACCCCTCTGTACATCATCTTGACAACAAAATTAAATTTAAAAAGAAGAACTAAATAGAGTACATCTAATAAGAAAAAATAAATCTAGGCAGTTAAAGGTGAAAACTATCTGGCTACATATATTATACAAATTCCCTTTTGCATGAGATAAACATTGGTATACATTAAGCTGAAACCAACATGAGAATGGACATGGAAAACACATGATATGTAATGTGAAAAATATTCCCATCTAAATCTAAAGAAAATATTTGAGGAAAATTATTCAACAAATCAGGATTATTAACAAAGTTTTGGGTTTTAATTAAGCAATGATTTTCAATGAGAAAGTAAAAATTTAACTGGCAAACAATTTTTAAAGTAAAAGTTGTTTAAGTGTAAGCTCCTATACAAATTACAAGCAGTTAGTTATTTATTATAAGAAAATGAATACCCAAATTATTTAAGCATGGAATTACAATAATCAAAGATTTCTTTTTACCTGGTTGCCAAAAAGGTTAAATCCATTAATTGCTTCTAGAGCTGCTTTTGCTAAACCAACAGAGCTAAAAGAGAAAAGGAAATACTTATTACACTGAAGTTGGTTACAAAATAAGAACCATTATCTAAAGAATATTCACAAGCAAGTGAATTTATTAGCACAATAGCTTCCATAGGAGAACAATATGTAAGAGATGCCATTTTGACATTTCACTCTTTCAATTTTCACTGATCATCTGGGACAAATATTTCTAGGTTCACCTTGATCTAAACTTAGGTCATGCTATTGATGATAGAAGTTTTAATGTCAGTTTTATTTCTGTTCACTACCTCAAGAAAAAAAGATGAACTTTAGATGAAAGTGTATTATGATGACATGCAATAGCAATTATGAAGTTGGGCATCATTAGTTCAGATCAATGTAACAGGAATTTTCTGATGTCAATTTTGAGCTTTAAATATTACAGAGTTTGGTATCAAATACCTTTTCCTAGAATCCAATAAAGTAGGCATTATTGTATGTCCACAGAATAACTGATTACTATATAGCTCTCATTTTTTCCTATATTTTTCTTTTTATAGTTAGCATTAATATTCTCAGTATCTGTTCCTTTGTTTTCTCAAATACTACATACAGTAGTGCTGAAAAATTTCTCATTAAAAATACAACACTGTGATCTTATGAATCTGTACCTTATAATGTTTCAAATCTAATGTTCTTTTCATTTATTGTAAATTTTAACTTATTTTACTCAAAGCAACAGTAATGTGATTAATATTGAAAAGTAGGGTCCAGTTATCAATTCAGTATTTCATGCAAACAATGATCGTAGAAAGAGTAGTCCACAGCAGCAGCAACAGCAGTAGTAGCAATATTACCTGGTAAGTTATTAGAAATGCCAGGTTTTCTCCTCTCTTAGAGCAGGGCATAACAATTAGCCCAATAAACATTCTCCAAGTGTCTGAATATACTTTAAACTTAAGTACAATACACCTGAAGTATGTACCTTAGTGTAGAACTTTTATATAGCATCCATTCCATGGGGTAGACCCCCCCAGAATCCACAACAGAATAAAATTCAGAACTCTTCTAAGCTACACATGACATTTGAATCTACATTTCTTTTATGACTGAAAAAATGTTTGACAGATAACTTTTTTTTCCCCCAGAAATCACAATTTATTAAGTTGGTGAGAACCACAGGAACAACGTTAGAAACCGTACCCAATGTAGGCCAAAACACCAAAAAAAAAAAAGAAAAGAAAAAGTCTGTGAAGCTTGTGATTGTCGTGGGAGGTAGCAGCAGAGGGAGCTGGTCTGCAGGCATGGTCAGCATGTATTCAAGGCGAGGAGCAGTGGTGATGGGTTTTCTGCCGGTGCACTTGAGCTCTGGTTTCTAGGCAGTCAATGCTGTTCTTCACTCACAGGGGGAAGGCATTTCCTCTGGGGTTGTCCTAACGGGGCAGGCAGCAACAGCACATCCTTTCAAAGCAACTCAAAACCGTCCTCTTGAGTCGCTTCCAGATGGAGCCTCTTCCATTAGCTGCAGGGCGGGGGAGAGAAGGGGTGCTGTCCTCCATCTCTGGCTGTATGTTCCAGGCAGACATTTTGGATGCTGGTGGTCCTGAGGGCAGCTGGCTACTCTCCTCTGTGTCCTCCCCTGGGCCCTTCAGGTCAGATGCTTTTGGACGTGGCCCCGTTTGGGCCCTGTCCATGTATGGTATAGGATGCGGGGGAGAGAACCAGCCCTGCTGCCCACCTGCCTCTCCTGCTCAGGGGCTGGGCAGGTCAGTTCCTCCCATGGGGAGGGTAGTTGCTGCTGCTCTTGTTGCTGGAGTAGAGGTAGGCTTGCTGCCCTCAGTCTTCCGCTCTGTACCAGTTATGCTGGGTCTCCACAGGAGACAGGGGAGGCACACCGACTTGGTGTGCCTGCCACCCTCCTCCTGCTGCTGCTTAGCATGCAGACAGACAGCGGGGTGGCGCACAGGAGCACTGGCTCTCTTGACCAGCACATTTTGGGAGGACGGATGTGCAGGTGAGGGGCAAGGCGGAGGCCCAGGAAGAGGGTACCACATTGGACGGATCAGGTCTCGGCCCTCATCTTGCTGCTCCTTGAGCATGTTGTAGGTTGCCCTCTTATTATTAACCCCGCACCTCCTCTGGGTTAAATCCCATGTATGACACCATGATGTGCAGTATGGCGGGGTCTGGCTGGTTCAGAGCAGGCTGGCGGGGGCATGGTGAGGCTCCCTTAATTGTCTTGAACCAGGGATGGCGCATTATTTGCCACACCATGGGCCGCCTCTTTGGATCGTTCGCCATAAGGTATGCTAACATTCCTTGAAGTTCAGGGGAAAAAGATTTTCGTATTTTAAATTTACCACTTAAAACTTCTTTACTGAGGAAGCCCATGACTTGCCTTTATAGGGCACATCGCCCATGACCATATAGTACAACAACACCCCAAGGCTCCAGACGTCCACCTTGGGGCCCTGGTAGCTCTCCTGCCTGAACATCTCAGGGGCCAAATAGGCCATAGTGCCACACTGTCTGTCCAGCTGCTGCCCTGGCCGGAACCATGTACTCAATCCGAAGTCACATAGCTTGGCTGTGCCCCTGCTGTCTAGCAGTATGTTTTCTGCCTTAAGGTCCCTGTGAGCAATGCCGTTGTCGTGGCAATATTTGACTGCGCTCAAGATCTGCCTAAACAGACCCCTGGCCTCGTCCTCTGCCAGCCTGTCCACCTTGTCCAGGTAGTCCACAAGGTCTCCTCTGTCCATATACTCTATCACCAAATACAACCTTTCTTCTGTTTCTCCCTTCTCATAGAGCTTGATGATGTTCGGGTGCTCCACAAACCTCAAAATGTCCAATTCGGTGGCAAAGAAGGTGCTATCCAACTTTTCGAGGACCTTCACCGCCACCAGGGTGTCCGTGGGCAGGTGCTTGGCCAACTTTATGGAAACAAAGCTCCCCTCACGGATGGTCCTCAGCACCTGGTAGTGAGCCTTGCGGAGGTCCTTCTTTGAGGAACTGGCCTCATGGCCCTCCCAGAACCTCGCCTCTCTACTCTGGCTAGTCATTCTACACAGCACCCTAGCAATGCTGTCTAGGGAGAAAGTGAGTGAACAAAGAAAGAGAACACAACCAAATATAATCAAATACAACAGAGCAGAACAGAAACAATGAAATGGACAAAACAGAAAAAAATACAATAAAATACAATGGAATATAATGAAATAAAAGATAAAAGATAATAACGGAATAAAATGTAAGCAAAGTCTAAGGTAATAACTATAATAAACACACTAAAAAGTAAATATAATAAATAAATAAAATGTAACTACTATCTAATATCTATCATGAAACAAAATCTAATAGGAATGAAAAATAATGAACAAAATGCTTAAATGCTAGCTGAAACCAACAAAAGTAAAAGAAAAAAAAATAGTAAATTAAGAAAAAATAAGTAAAACAAAAAACTAAAATAATAAAAGTAAAAGAAATAAAGTAAAAATGAAAAAGAAAATATAAAGAAAAAAATTTTAAAAATACAATTAAAACAACAAACAGGAAAACAAAAAAGGCAAAAAAATAAACCAAAAGTCCAAACGTCAAAGCCAATTCACAATCCCAATCCAAAGAACCGAAAACCGAAGCCAAATCAACAAACCAAATCCAAAACCCGAGAAATCACCACGCAACCACCCAACTAAACTCCAACCTCCAAACTATCTACAGAGAGTCCACCCGGCACCGCCCACTATATATACAGCCAGGGTTATGACCTCACAGTGATGTCTGTGATGTCAGAGACACCAAGTTACTGGCCTAGAAGGCACTTCTAAGTAGAAGTGTGTGCTTGGATTGGCCTTTCACTCAGGGCCTGGGCACTCAAAGTTGGTGCTCTACCAGTTGGTCCACAGTCCAAATTCTATCTTCTTGGTGGTTCTTGGGAGATTATGGGCTCAGGAATTTCCAGTCCAGATTGCCTACAAAGGCAACCTGCTTAGCTAGGATGCCAGGCCTTAACCTGAACCTTGCAAGACACTTTGAGTTCATTAAAATTTGGGTGCAGTAACTCAAAATTTCTTAGTTGGTTGTATAGATTGATATAGAATATTCTGTTAATTGCAATCTAATCAGAGTGTGGATGCTCATATGTATAATTCTGGCTGCTTGTAGGGTTAGAATTGGAAAGATAACAGTTGGAATCTGTTCTGGGCAAAATAGTTCATGAGAGTTCATGGCAAGGGAAGAAGCTGGCATTGTGGTACATGCCTCTCATCCCAGCTAAGCTGAAAAGTGAAAAAGAGGATGGTATTAAGGCTCTGTTACAACAAAAGCAAGTCCTTTCTCAAAAGTCACCAGCACAAATTCAAATGACTGAAGGCTAGATTAGTGTCAGAAGATAAGCCTGAGGTCAAACACTTCACCAAAACCCACATCAGTCCTGTTCTGCATTATGCATATTGTTTCTGCTTTCATATTGCCATTGCTCTTCTAGAATGACCACACATGTGCTATTTTGAGCATGTTACTTTTCATTCAGTCCAGATGAAGGCCAGACACACATGATATGCCATTTAGAACATATTCAGGTTCATTATGAACATTTTTCTACCTAGCTGACCCAAAAGTAATCCTTCAGGCTTTCCTAGAAGCGTATTAGTTTCCTCATCAAAAACAAAGGCACTGGTGGCTCACGCCTATAATCCTAGCTACTTAGGAGGCTGAGATATGAGGATCACTGTTCAAAGCCAGCCCAAGCAGTAAAGTCTTGAGACTCTTAACTCCAATAAACCACTTGAAAACCAGAAGTGGCTCTGTGGCTCAAGGTGTAGAGCAGTAACCTTGAGCTGAAGAGCCCAGGGATAGCACCCAGGTCCAAAGTTCAAGCCCCAAGACAGACCAAAAACAACAACAACAACAACAACAACAACAAGGGGATCCATGGCTCAAGCATATAATCCTAGCAAGTTAGGAGACTGACCAGCTGACAGTCACTGTTCCAGCCATCCCAGGCAGGAAAAGCCAGGGGACTCTTGTCCAGGTTGCCACCTGAAGTGTCACTGTGTGTCAGATTGGAAGACTGCTGGCCTTGAGCAAACTACTCTAAGACAGAGCTCTGGCTCTGAGGTCAAGACCAATGACCGACCAAAAAAAACACAAACGATCAAAACAAAACAAAACCAAGGGAGCTCAAAGAGAGAGGTGGGAGGGTGTAGCTCAACAGATTCAGCCTTAAACACACTAATTACCAAACCTCAAATCTTGTCAACAGTAGAGTGACCAGTATATGGGTCCTTCAGAAATGAATAATGACAATGCTTTCAGACAGACTGAGGAATTTATTCTTACCTATTTATTTGCCCTGAAAAAATGCGATTCTCATGGTGAATTCCAGGTTGCTTGAGCTTTTCCTTAGAGGTATGAAGAAAGGAGGATTGTGGGGGAGTGAGGGGAGGGGGAGGATGTAGTTGTGGAGATGGGAGGTAAGGGATGGTAGGGGGAAAACAAAGGAGGAGGCAATAATGCTTGATAAGAAATGCACTCATTACCTTGCTCATGTGATTTTAATCCCTCTGTATGGTATTTTCACAATAAAAAACATTTAAAAAAGAAAGGAAGGGTGTGGGAAGGTGGCTCAGTGGTAGAGCACTTGCCTTGCATGCCTGAGGCCCTGGGTTTGATTCATCAGCACCACATAAACAAAAGGTAGAGAGCTAGCCTTGAACTGAGGAGCTGAGGGACAGCGTCCAGGCCCAGAGTTCAGGCCCAATGACCGGACCCCCCCCCCCCCCCCCCCCAGAAAAAGGAAGACTGTGGCAGAGGTATGGTAATGACTGTTTCGGCAATATGGGCAAAAAAAAAGCAACTCACCAAAACTGTAAACAGTTGTGTATTAAGATACCAATTGTATGCACTTGGCAGCTTATAACTTCACTCATAAGGATGAAACCCAGGGCCTGAAACCTATCAGACAGCCTGTGCCCAGACCTCACCCTAAAATGCTTTTTGTTTTTTTTTTTGGTTTTCTGAGTGGTTTATTGGAGGTAAGAGTCTCACAGAGGGCTAGGAATGTGGCTCAGTGGTAGAGTGCTTGCCCTTCCATGCATGAGGCCCTGAGTTCAATTCCTCAGCACCACGTAAGCAAAAAGGAAAAAGCCAGAGTGGCACTGTGGCTTAAGTGGTAGAGCGCTAGCCTTGAGCTGAAGAGCTGAGGGACAGTGCCCAGGCCCAGAGTTCAGGCTCCACGACTGGCCCCCAAAAAATGTCTCACTGAGTTTCCTGCCCGGGCTGGCTTTGAACTGTGATCCTCAGATCTCAGCCTCCTGAGTAGCTAGGATGACAGGCATGAGCCACGAGCACCCAGCCTAAAATGTTTTTTTTTGGGGGGGTGGGGGAGGGGAAGGTAGCAGGATGTTTCTTTTCTTTTCTTTTCTTTAATTGTAAAGATAGTATACAGAGGGTTACAGTTACATGAGTAAGGTAATGAGTATACTTTCCATTGAGCATTGTTACCCCCTCCATTGTTTTCCCCCTACCATCCCTTCCCTCCCTACCTTTCCCGAGGTTCTTTTTTTTTTTGATTGTGATTAAGTGATTACATAATTTCCCAAATTTCACAGTATTGTGGAATAATGATGCTCATTTAAAGTCACAAGTTCATTCTAACTTTCCTGGAGCAAATTGTCTATCACAGTCTATAACATATAACGGTGTACACATGTTATACACCATACATGTGATCAGCAGCATGGGAATATTTAGTAGTGGTTCGACCAGATGAGTGGGAGTTCTTTGTTTCTTAAGTCCTGTTAATTTTGTAGTATCACCTAACATTTTGGATTTAGCATCCACTTATCAGGGAGACCATGTACCGTTTGTCTCTTTGCTCTTGGCTTACCTCGCTCAACATGATTTCTTCTAGCTCCATCCATTTCCCTGCAAATGCCATTATTTTGTCCTTTCTAATGGCTGCATAATATTCCATTGTTTATAGATACCACAATTTTTGGATCCATTCATCTGTGGTGGGGCATCTGGGTTGTTTCCATATCCTAGCTATTGTGAACAGTGCTGCAATAAACAATAAACATGGAGGTGCACGTGTCCTTGTATATTGGTTCCTGTTGTTCAGGGTAGATGCCTAGAAGTGGTATGACTGGGTCGTAAGGGAGGTCAATCTTTAGCTTTCTAAGGACCCTCCAGACTGCTTTCCAAAGTGGTTGTATAAGTGTACATTCCCACCAGCAGTGTAATAGGGTTCCTCTTTCTCCACACCCCCTCCAGCATTTGTCGTTGGCTGATTTGTGGATGTGGGACATTCTGACTGGGGTACGGTGGTATCTCAGGGTTGTCTTTATTTGCATTTCCTTCACCACCAGGGATGATGAACATTTCCTCATGTGTTTCTTTGCCATTTTTATTTCTTCATTTGAGAAGTCCCTCTTTAGTTCCCTTGCCCATTTAGTAATTGGTTTGTTAGGTTTGGGAGGGATTCGTTTCTTGAGTTCCCTGTATATACAGGATGTTAACCCCTTGTCTGATATATTGCTGGTAAATATTTTTTCCCAATTAGTTGGTTGTCTTTCTAGCTTAGTTGCGATAGATTTAGCTGTGCAGAAGCTTTTTATTTTAAGGTAGTCCCATTTGTCGAGTCTCCCTCCAATTTGTTGTGACCCTGGGAAGTTCCTTCCCGTGCCTATTAGTTCAAGTGTCTTTCCTACTCTGTCATGCAGTAGTTTCAGAGATTCAAGTTTAATGTTAAGGTCTTTAATCCATTTTGAGTTGATGTTGGTGTATGGTGATAGGCTGGGGTCCACTTTTAGTTTTCTGCATGTGGCCGCCCAATTTTCCCCGCACCAGTGGTTGAAGAGGCTGTGTTTCTTCCATTGTATGTCTTTGGCTCCTTTGTCGAATATCAGCTGGCTGTAGGCCTGTGGATTTATTTCTGGATCTTCTATTCTGTTCCATTGATCTTCGGGTCTGTTCTTGTGCTAGTACCATGCTGTCTTTGTTATTATAGCTCTGTAGTAGTTTGAAGTTCGGCATGGATAGCCCTCCCATATTGTCTTTA